TGGTTTCTCGAATTGGCGAGGAAGTGGTCGATTTTTAAAATTTTAACATAAACTTAGTTGATTTACAATTTTATGATTTAATGTGTTGAAAATATTTACTAGTATATCATAAATTATTTGTAAGAAACTATTTATTCTAGATATACAGTTACCACTTTACAGTGGCAGTAGCTATGTAAATCTATATCCATCTGCAAATGTAAGAAATATATGTATTTAACAAATCCTTCTCATTTCCTAGTGCAGCGAACGTGATGTTTGTTAATAAACAAAAACGTACGTACGTGAAATAATTCCTTGTTCATTTGCAAAATCTCATTTATAAAACCACTGAAAATATTTATTTAATGCAGCCGCCTCACCTTATCGAATTCTTAAGTATTATCTAAAGCGAAATACGACCTTACCTCTTTGTTTATAGGTCATGGCTTTCGTTTTATCAACACGTCGAGTTGCACGAAAGTTCATAAAGATAAACCTGTGCACGATTGCGGCGTGTTATTGTCAAAACTGAAATTTGCACGTACAATATTATATAATCGAAAACATTTTTTAAACGAACGGAGAACGTGTGCATTTCGTGGCTCCTGTACGTATATTTGTTTTCCAATTTACGTCGGACCGAACTTTAAAACGAGTGCTTTTTATTTTGATTATTTATTGTGGTAGGTCTGTAGTCTCCTTTATTTTTTTTTTTTAATTTTCATATCAATGCGCTTATCACTTTCAGTTTACTTTAAACATAATCCAACTTTTAAACATTGCATAATGATAATACATTTTAGTAGATAATTTAAGTTTTGTATTTGTTACATATTTATTATATATTAATAAATTCTTACAAGTTTTTAGAAATCTTTCGTAATAATTCAATAATTTAATGAAACAATTAATAATTTGTTTTGATTTAATTATTTGTGCACATCAAAAAGTCCATCAAACGTTTCGAGATAATTCTTAGACAGGGAGCGTATTTCATGAATTTCTAATTAAATGATCCGACCTGACTTGATGTTTGTTTTGCGACTTAATAATGCAATGCTTTAGCTTGTACAGTACATAAGACGTGTATATGTGTTTGTATTATTAAAAGTGATGCTGTCTGTTGCATGTGAAGCGAGATTAATTTATCGCAAAACGGAAGATAATTTGCTGCGGTTAAGTCAATGTATTATATTATACACTTTATCTACGGAAAATAATTAATCATCGTATCATGCGCTATTACTCACTCGGAAGATTAACAATTATTGCGACGGGTTCAGTTCGTTTCGTTCGTTCGTTTCGTTCTCTCGCTATATAATATATCGAATCCACTGCATATCCATATCGAAAGATGCGGTTTCCGGCGCTCCATAAGAATATAGGGGACCAACATTGAATTATCTTTCAGATATACTTATGAAACTCAATTATTAAGGGGACCACACTTTGACACCCGTCGTACTTCCTAATTGAATTGTGTGGGTTGATTTACTATCAGAAAGATAAATAACTTTTTTTTCTCTCATTTTCATTAATTAACTATGTTATATAACATCAATTATTGTTAATAAAATTGAAAGATTAATTGAAATTAATAAAATCATTGGGAAATGTATACATCGATTATCTTATTTGGATAACTTCAAAAACGAAGTTATCGAAAACATGACTATTTTTTATTTGGTTTTAGAAAACAAGTCTGTTAACGTTACCTCGGATAACAAAGCTTCGATGTAACAAAATCCGCAAATTCAAGGAAAATATGTGCGGAGGTTGAATAACAATTGCATTTGTCAACTCAACTAATGTCAATATTACAATAACTGTCAATGTCAATTGACAAATAGCTTTCAATTAATGACATTTTTTACTACATAAACTATTGAGAATTTGATGGCAAAGAACGACAAAACAAATTTTCATTAATTAACTATGATATATAACAACAATTATTGCTAACAAAAAT